GGAGAAAATATAAGGTAATCCAACTTACCGCATACCTCATAGCAGAGAATGTGTCATTTAAGAGCTTGGTGGAATCAACAAAATTACAGTTCGAATCCTGGCTCCACAACTCACCAAGTACATGAATTTGGACTCAGTGCCAGGCATTCTGTAAAATGTTGAGAATATAATGGTAATAATAATCCATAACTCAGTGGAAACTCAGTTCAAGCAACCCTTTCTCAGGGGGCATTTAAAAAATAACAATTCTTTAATATCAAGGTAGATAACTGTAGGAGCAAACAACACACTAAACAAAAACCAATCTCAAACCAGCAGCACGTACAACTGATTACATAACATGCTCAAGGGTGCGATTTATCACAGGAATGCAAGGTTGGCATAACATATGACTGTCAATCTGTGTACCAACACCACTTTCTACTCCCATAAAAGTCATGGCTTTGAAAACACAGGGGCAGTTCTTCCCTGTCCCATAGGGTGGCGATGAGTCATAATTTACTCGATGGCAGTGACATTGGTTTGAATTGGATAACGGATAACATTACATGATCATCTCAATAGATAAAAGAAAAACCATTTCATAGAAATAAACACCCCGGTATTATGAAAAGAGCCAACAAGCAAATGAGGAATAAAATAAAAATCTCTCAAGCCGGTAAAGGTCATCATTCAAAACTCACAGCTAATGTCATATTCCTTTATAATTTATTTTTGTTGTTTTTATTGTTGTTGATCGTATACACAACAGAACATTCACCAATTCAACCATTTCTGCAAGTAACATTTGGTGACATTGATTGTCTTCTTCAAGTTTTTCAACGTTCTCAGGCTTTATTTTTCTGAGTTGTTCCTCTACCACAACACAAATTCACTCCCTGCTGTTCCTCTCTACTCTTCCCACTGCTGTTGTCGATTGCATCCCACATACGTGGTCCTTAAAAGAATACAATTCTCAGGACAGACATTCTTTATTAGGTAAGCTAAGCTATTATTTGGTTCCAAGAAGTTTTCAGGGGATATTTTTGGTTTCATGTTTAAAGACTATACAGACAATAGTTTCAGGGGTTCATTCTATGCCCAGGGCTTCAGAAAGTATGGAGTCCATGAGAATTTGAAATTCTGTTCTGCGTGTTCCAACTTTTGATCAAGATTCTTCTATAGAATGTTAGACCCAAATAGTACCTGGACACCATACAATTCTGTGGTCTCGTTGCAAAGAAGCCAGTTGTTCATGGAGGCAACTAATCACACATTACCTATCCTGCTATTCCTGATAATCCTTTTTCCTGTGCTCCAGGTGAGGAGAGACCAACTGTTTTGCATTGGATATCCACTAAACAAACTTAAAAAACCCCAGGCACTACACAACAAATGAGGAGCTAGAACAGAAGCACTAAACACAATATTAGGCCAATTAGCTGTGATGTCTCACGAAACCCCCAAACCAAGAAACTACGTCCCATTGAGTATTTGGTTATACATAATCTTAGTATCTACTCCTGTTCATTCTTTCTTGCTTCCTTGTTTTTTTGTTGTTGTAATAAATACTCATGTGGATAACACAACTTCTTTATAGGTATAAAACTTATGATAGCAATTACATTAATCAGTTGTGCAATCCTACTCTTAATCAATATAAGTTTTACATCACCTTACACCAAAATTCAGCACTCTATTAGCAATAAATTTCCCACCCTTCACTCATCCATGCTAACCACTAAGCCATTTCAGTCTCTATATATTTGCCTGTCATTGTCTTTGTATATAAGTGAAGTCATGCAATATTTTTGGCTCTTATATCCCACATAATACCTGTCAGTTTTTTCTGGTCGAGAAGTAAATATTCTGTTGTATATATGCACCACATTTAGTTGAAGCATTCATCCATTGACGGCCATTTGAGTTGTTTTCACCTTTGGGGTATTGTGAAGTGCTGCAATGAATATTAGTGTACAAGTCTCTTTTAGAGTCTCGACTTTCAACTCTTAGGAGTCTATGATAGCTCATGGAGTGGAGTGGCTAGGTTACATGGGAGTTCTAGTTTGAATGGAACCACCATATTGTTTTCCACAAGAACTACTAGCAGTGGTTAAAGGCTCTAATTTATGTACTCGCATCCTTACCACTATTTTATTTTCTGGGTTTTTTGTTTGTGTTTTGTGCTTTTAAAAGACAAAACATTTTATTGTGCATTAGGTGGTTTACAAAGAAGCCCATCAGTTTAACATTGAACCATTCATACACATTTTGCTTGCACTCATCCATTATAATCCTGTCAATGTGCCAGTGCTTATTCCAATTTCTCCCTGTGTTTCCTGTTTCCATTTCTCCTACTTTCCTAACCCTCTAAATGTTGCCTTTGGGTTAAGGCTGCCCTTTGGATCTTAAATGGTTCAGTAGTCTACCATAGGGGTGAGTTCAGTTGTGGGCCTGAAGGGTAACTAACAGTCATAATCTCAGGGATCTTGCCTGTCTCTATCCAACAAGTAAGCCTAGTCTCTTGATTCTGAGTTTTATTCCACATTTTTCTCTGACTCTATCTGAGACTCTCTAATATGATCTTTTTCAGAGCAGTTGATAATGGTAGCCAGGCACTGAATAGTTCTTCTGGTCTCAGTCTCGGAGATTGATGTTTGGGTGGTCCTTTGGACAAATCGTTCCCATGTCTTCTGATTTCCATCATTCTTCTTTCCCCCGGATAGAGAGACACCAATGGTTGAACCCTAGATGGCTGCTCATGTGCTTTTAAGGGCCCAGTCACTAGTCACCCAAGTAGACTGTAGAATATTGTCTTTGTGAACTCTTCTATGCCCGTGCACTTTGGAGTTCCCCAAGACTATATCCCTGATCCCCCAGCCCCAGCAACATATTCCTTCAAGGAGTTTGGTTACATCAAGAAGTATTCATAACTTTGCCTCCTCCATGTGCTACCATATTCTTGGATATATTTGCAGCAAATACATACATATATTTGAAAATATATCTGTCAAATGTACATTTTTATGTATTTATAGGTATAGTCCCAGTCCCCCTCCCACACCTGTTCAGCTTGCATGCTAGATCCCCACTATGGCAAGATCATGTACACAATAGTATTTGTTTCTGTTGCTTTAAACTCTTGCAAATCTCTTAATGCTTTGATCTGCCGTTATTTTTTTTTTAAATCAACCTGTATGCTGTCTTCTCCTTCACCCAAGGATTTTGTTTGTTTGTTTCATTTATCTTAGCTATCCTAGTGGGAGTGGAAGTGTATCTAGTTGTGGTTTTCACTAGCATTTCTCTGATGGTATCTTTTCATGTGTTTGGTGGCCGTTCAAATGTTTTTTTGGTGAAATGCCTATTAAAACCTTTGCCTATTTTATGATTGGGTTGTGTTTTTGTTGCTAAATTGTAAATTATATATATATATATAATCATGTAAAAGATATATATATATGTAATCATGTAAAAGATATATATATATGTAATCATTCTATTATAATTGGTTATCTGGTTCCCAAAGATAGTCTCCCAGTCAGTAGCTTACATTTTTACATTCTTGGCAAAGTATTTTTTTAATTTAATGATTACTTTTTTTTTACCAATTTCACTGACATACAATTCATATATCATACATTTCAACAGTCTAATTGCATTCATAAGAGTTGTGCAACCACCCCTACCATCAACTCCAGTACTCTTCTTCTTCCTTGTACTCATTGTTGTTAACGCCTCAGGGCCTTCCAGCCTCCCCTGTCATGTCCCTTTGAATCTATTGTTCCAATTATTGTCTTGATAGGTTTAGCTAATGTGGGTTTCAGATAGATACAGAAAATTGTACAAAATCAAAACAACATACAAATGGCCCACAACAATGACACAATAAAACAAAGAAAACCCCCAATTGATAACAAAGCAGAGAATATTAAAAACTGGAGTAATTATTCAATGGCTCAAGAAGGAGATCACTGACAAAGTGTCACATTTTGACCTAACTCCATTCTCAGTAGCCCATTCTACCATGTGCTCTGTCAGGTAACAAGGCCTTTCCCATCTCTAGTCCATAGTCAGAGGGGATTTACCTGAGGCTTCATCTGCATGAGGGACCCTGCACAAGGGTTTTGGGCTTTTACTGTCATCCACAGCATTCTGAAAACTCGGCATTCAGAATTTATGCTCTAATACAATTCCTTCCTCTGGGTTTGAATTTTATCCTTTATAATTTGTGAATTACAATCACAAATGCTGGTGTGCTTCTTCAATGTGGACTTAAATGACACCTCACTTAAATGACTGCTCGTTTTAAGACAAATCTTTAAGACTGCAGTTGCTATTCTTTCTGACAGCCAGGCATCACCTGCTTTTTTGGCAATGTATTTTTTTAAGAGTAAAAATTTATATCCATTTCATAATTCAAATTAACTGTATTGTAACTTGATAAAACAATGATTATATGCAATCTCATAAGAGATTTCTTCAAACTTTACCACCAAGTAGGGGCCCCAAATGTTGACACCCAACATTTTGCCCAGTGAGAATGTGCATATAATTACTGAAAGAGATGACATCAATATTCAAGAATCAAATTGTTTGATGCTTTAATTATAAGCCCTTAGGGTATCTAACTGGGGCCTTGGTGGTGTAATGGTTATGAGTTGGGCTGTGATCCACAAGGTCAGCAGTTCAAAACCACCAGCCACTTCCCCAGGAGAAAGATGGGGCTTTCTACTCCCAAAAATTTTATTATCAGAAACTCACAGGGGAAATTCTACTCTGTCCTACAGAGTCACTATGAGTGGACATTGACTTGATGGCATATAATCACCTCTGTAGGGCAGTAATAATAATGACAAATTTATGTATTTGTCCTGCAAAGTTCAGTGCTGTTGTTTTAAAGTAAATGGAGAGCATATGTGAAAACATTTAAGTCTTACTCATATTCTTTATAATAAAAATAAAAGTCTGGAGACTTTTAATAATTCTTCTTGAGTTCAAGCTGGGACAGGACTAAATTGGTATCAAGCAATCATACTTATTCCAACTCTGGCAACCATCAGCAAACTGGCACCTGCAATTAAGCCTGCAGGCATAAATTTCCCGGAATTGTAGAATATCATTCCCATAATGCCAGCCAAATTCCCAGATGTAGCTAGGAAAACCCAAATGTTCCTGGGATTCTGCGAGAGCTGATATGCACCTAGACCTGCTAACCCCCCCGGAAGAGAAGTCCAGCAGCGAGGGACAGGACACTACCTGCTTTCGCGTAGCCAATGATCCCACCAGAAGCAACCAGTGCTGTGTAGCCAAAGCCAAACCAATGCAGGGGCACTAGGGAGCTGGGCTGCTTCTCCATGATTCTCTTTCCTCTCTGTCCGATTGTGCGAAGATACGCTGCCTGCACCCGAACTGCTTTCCCGAGGTCAGCTCCAGCAAATGAAAGAACAGAGGGGCAATGTATTTTAATGAACCAAACATCTTTTTTATTTTAATAATGTCCCATCTATTCATTTTGTCTTTTATTTTTTATGCTTTTCTGAAATTAGATAACCCAGTGTTAAAAGCTAGATCTGAAAGTGTTACCCCTTCATTTTCTTCTAAGAATTTTATGATTATAGTTTTCACGTTTAGGTCCTTAAATCACTATGAATTTTTGTGTGTGTATGCGGTAATCCATGTATCCTATTTCACTTTTCTGCATGGGGACATCTATTTTTCTCCAGCACCATTTACTGAAGAGACTCTTCTATCCCTCATAAAAGAGATTATGCAGCCTTGTCAAAAAATATCTCTAGACCATCAGTCTTATTCCATTGCTCTCTGTGTGTACTGGTATATCAGTATCCAGCTGTTTTGATTACTGGAGCTGTTTAAGTATGTTTTAAAATCAGGAGGTGTGAGTACCCCTACTTCATTCTTCCCTTTCAACATTGCATTAGTTATTTGGGGCCGCTTGCCATTCCAGATATAGTTGAGGAGTGCTGTTTTCATTTCTGTAAAGAAGACTGTTGGAATATTAATCAGGACTAAGTTGAATTTAGAGATTGTTTTTTGACATGTTAACAATAGTTATGTCAACCTTATCAAGTCTTCCAATTAATGAACACATTGACATACTTAATGAAAGAAAACAGAAAATTTTCTTCCTAAAATCAGGAGCAAAACACTTTCACTATTTTTATTCATTGTTGTGCTTGATATTCTTGTCAGGTCAAGTAAGAAAAATTAATGAATCCAGTTTTGGAATAAAGAAGTGAAATTATATTACAAATGATACAGTTTTATATCTAAAGAATTCTAAAAATACACAAAGATAGCTAATACACAAATTCATCTAGGTTAAAATCAGTTGTGTTTCTATACTATGATTTCAAGGGTCATGGATTTTAGAGACACATAAGGGAACCCCTAGTTAGTTATGGAAACTATTACTGAAAATCTGTGTAGAATTTTTGTTGTTGTCCTGGAAGCTGTGGGAGCAAACCCATAGCAAAACATTGGCAAACAATGGCTTGCTGGTTGTTTCTGTAAATAAAATTTTAATGGCACAAAGAAAATCCTACTCCTTTATGTCTTCTTTATGGCTGAGTTTGTGCTAGAATTACTGCGTTGAAGAGTTGTAAGAGGGTGGCTATATCCTACAAAGCTTAAAATATTTGTTTCCTGGCCCATTGCAGAAAAACGTTGCTGACTCTTGTATAACACCAGTATATCAGCTCCTTACTTTATCACCATTTACAGGTCTCATGGACAAATAATAGTTCAACAGATTTATAAATGCATGCACTCCTGTACACCTGTTCTATCTTCACTCGTTCTCCCAAACTAGACGCCTATTCCCCTTTAATCTCACTTCTTGCTTTCTATCACCACATCCTACTAATTCTATCTCCTTACTATATTTTGAATCTAGTTATGTCTCTCCGTGTCTGCTGCCCCTACATTAGTTCAAGACACAATTACTTTGTAAGAGATTGACAATTTTCTATTTTATCTCCCATCTTCTGGTCTTGTTCACCTTCTGCCTCCAATTCATCTCTCACTAACAAGCTGGAAAATCCTTCTAAATATAAATCTATTTCTGTCATCTGTATAGTAATATATATGGCTAAGATTTAGTAAGTCTGCCATTTATTGAATTATGGTCCCACAAAATATGTGTTGTAATTCCATAACCTCTATGTCTGTGGTTATGATCCCATTTGGGATCATGTTGTCTTTGTTATGTTGATAAGGCGTGATTAGTGTAGTGTGTATCTTGAGTGGATCGCTTTTTAGATAGAAAAAGATTAAGAAAGGCAGCAGAGAAATGGGATAACATAGATGCCAATATCTCTAAGGAAACAGGAAGTGAAACCTCAGGAGACAGCAACCTTCTTCCAGAACCAGTAGAGAAAGCCTTTTCTGCAAGCTGGAGCTCTGAGTTTGGCCTTCTAGCCTCCTAAACTGTGGGAACATAGATTTGTGTTCATCAAAGCTATCCACTTGTGATATTTCTGTTACGGCAACACTAGATAAGTAAGACAGAGCCCTTACTCTATTGCCAGGCAGTTTGAAGTGTTTTCCATGTAATAATTAATCTTAATCCTCCCACTATCCTTATGAGGTAGATTCGATTATGATTTCCATGCTATAGTGAAAATCACTGAAGAACCCCAACCAAAACATCAAACCCATTACCATCAATTTAATTCTGCATCAGAGTGACCCCATAGGACAGGGTAGAATTGTCCCTTTGTATTTCTGAGGTTTTCATCTTTATAGGAACAGACCGGCCATAGAATATGCTAACTCTTCCTCTCACTAGCTGTCTGGCTTAGGGGGGTTCCTGTTTTGCATGGGCCTCATTTATTCATGCAATGTTTATTCAGCACCTGCTGAGTGCTAGGCTGAAGGATACAAAGAGGAGAATGTCACAGACCATAACCTCTAGGAGTTCAAGGTCCAGTGAAGGAGATAGATGTCTAAATGATTATCAAATAACATATAAAGTGCATGAGAATTAAAGCTGAACTGCTCCCTGAGGGATTCCTGTAGGAAGTAATAACTGAGTGAAGCATTAAGGGATATGTAGGAGTTAACTAGGAGCAGGGGAAGAGGGGCCAACAAACATCTAAAGTAGAATGGAGAGCATGAGTAAAGGCATTGTGGTGAGAATGAGCATGAATTGTATGGGAAATAGAGCAGTCTGGGGTGGCTACTGCTGGAGCTACAGGACTGTGAACAGCAAGATTTAAGGCTGGAGAGGTAGGCAGGGGTTAGAGCAAATAAAACATGTCATTTGGGATCCTTCTAAATATTACAGATTCCTTTTAAGAGAAATAAGTATGTGAGTGTGGTGTGAGTGTGTATGTGTGGTATGCAGTATAGTGGAATAGTCAAAATGGTGGAACCTGGGCCTAGACTCCATTGATTCAACTCCTGACACTGTCATTTACTAGCTGTGTGACCTTGAGCAAGGTAGTTTAGTGGATTTCACGACGGGCTGCTAAACTGCAAGTCAGCAGTTCAAATCCACCAGCTGTTCTTTGGAAGGAGGATTAGGCACTTATGGATGTAAGTATATGGAAGGGAGTTGGGAGGACATAGTGAGGATTCTGAGCACCCTCAAAGGAAGGGAGATCACAGAGTGGAAACATTTTAGAACCAATTTTAATAAAACTTTGAGCCAATAATAATATATAGAATGATATAGAGTGGCTCAAATGCATATTCATTAAGGGACACAGGATGGCAGACCCTCCAATCTAGAGGAGCCCTCGCAGAAAACTTTTCTAGACTAGTCTTGGCAGTGTTACACATCATTCCTTTCCACTTCCACTGGAGAGAATATATACTTGTGACCATCCCTCACTGCAGGGGAGACTGGGTGATGTCCAAATGTAGGTTCAAGAAGGAGAACACATGGTTTTGATGGGAAGTTTGTGATACTTGCCAATATACGAACCAGAACCACGGGCTCCTGTTTACCTTGGGTGTTGGGTAAATGATGGAAGAGGCTTATTTCATGCCCTTTGCACTAAGAAGCTATTGAGTTATACAGCAGAAGTTTAGCCTAGCCCATGCATAACCAAACCCAACCCACTACCATCGATCCATCAAGTTGAATTCTACTTACAAGGACACTGTACGGGGATTCCAAGGCTGTAGATCTGTGTGGGTGCTGCAGACAGCCTCATCTTTCTCCTGAGGGGCAGCTGGTAGATTCGAATCCCTGACCTTACCCTTGGCAATCCAGTGCTTAACCTGACAACACTGCCAAGGCTCCTTTGCCCCATGCATAGCCAGGGGGGAACCATGTCAAGTCTAAGCCGGATGTTAAATCCTGCTAGACCATTTAGCTCCCTGTTGAATCGCTTACCAGGAAGTAGCAGCTAGAGAGTGACTCGCAGTGCTGATGATTCCTTAATTATTAATCACTGACACTTTGTAGATTGCATTTTAGGAAAATCCCAGCTGGGTTAGTATACAATATTATAATGTTGGTCCAAACATTTCTTCCTCCTCTGCAGGTCTAGACCAGAGAGGTTGCAAAATAGATGGCAAAGGAACAACCTAATTCATGGCGAGCCAACCGAGAGATACTGAAAACCAGAGGGGGGGAGGAAAAAAAACTGAAGTAGAACTCATTTTCCTTTCAAACCAGAGCCACAGGCATGGGCTTCTTCTCTGCTAGTGTGTGTTTGCCCAGACACAGTGCGCAGTTATTGTCAACCCCATATAGATAAGGGGAGGGAGAACAGTCAATCAAGCTGAAATGAAATCACCCCAGCAGTCCCTGGTAGGAGATTGGTAAAATCCCAGAAGAACTTTGTAAAGCAGCATCCCCTGCTATGCCCGCCAGAGATTCCTCTTTCAGAAGTCTGTAGTGTGTTCTGGTGGGAAGCCGGGTTTTTAAAATCCTCCCCCGATTATTCTGACACAGAGAGCCCTATTTGGAGGACTAATGCTCTAATATCATGAGAGAGGAAGAAGAAGGCAGGCCAAAACATTATAGATGGAACAGGGGGCTCTTAGTATATGGAATAAAAATCAGCGCTAAAGAAGACTAGTCTTACAGCTTGATGTGAAGGACCGTCCCCGGGTTGACCCGTTTACGGGGACCTAGAGGCAGGCCTTTTCTGATCTATGTAGTCCTTTGCACAGGCTTCCTATAGTCTAGGAGAAGTCTTAATACATGTAGGCTTCCTCTGGACATCCCACATGCCTAACGTGTTTCTTTTTTTCCCCCTAGTTTGTTGCTCAGCCTAACTGCCAACAGTTACTTGCCACCCTGTGGTATGACGGCTTCCCAGGATGGCGGCGGAAACACTGGGTAGTCAAACTTCTGACCTGCATGACCATTGGGTTCCTGTT